GTTTACAGTTTTTTTTTTTTTTTTTTTTGTCTTGTTCTATAATTGAATGTGAATGTTGGTGCTAGGAAACTGCTGCTTCAAATTGTTTGTTGCCTAGGTGATAATAATTCTTTAAGCGGCTTCTCTGGTAACTATGAATCCTAATAACCATGATATGGTTCATTTGAGATTTGTCTTGCAATGTAAAAACGAAAATGCTTTTTTATTATTTGTAGAGCACAAGGCAATTAATATTATACCACAATAATCAAATCAATGTCTAATTAATTCACAAGAACCCCTTTATATTGAAGTTGATAATAGGGGTTGGCGATATCACTTATTTTTGTATTATTTATATACTGTTAGTATTTATTATTATATTAATAAATATTTAAGTATGTTATTTGTATATTTTCTTTTTTTTTCTTTTCTTTTTTTTTAGTAGTTGTAATACTTCTCGCTTAAATATATTTGTTACAGTTAGTTGCCATGACAACATTTCTAATTGACAGTTTTTTTGTTTAAGTGTTTGATCTAATATTACTATTTTATTTTGACTTTATTTAAATTACTTGTAACTATTTTTTAATATATTTTGGTAATTTAAAATAAATAATAAAACAAATTAAACTATTTTAATAGTTTGGTTTTAGTGAACATTGATCAACACAGCAGCACTATGAATTGTGCCATAAACAGAAGTTAGTCCACCTAGAAAAGTAGTCCTGCCTCAGAGAACTTTACTAATCACAAAAACTTTTATTTTGAAAAATTCCTGTAAGGGTTTTTAAAAAAGACCAAACATTTTTGCTTTTTAACTCTTCTTATCTTACATTAGCCCTCCTTACATTACTGTAAAAAAAAAATTCCTCCACAAACTGATGGAAGTTTCTTTGACAGCTCCCAGATAACTGTCTTCCACTGTTTTTCTTTCACACAGTTCCGCTACAAAACCAGGGTGTACAAACAGACAAATCTAGATGAAAAACAGCTGGCCAAACTACACACAAAGGTATGCATCGCCACAGAAATCATCTAATTCTTTTCTAAAAAATAGAAGTATAACGTGAACATTCAAGGTGTGCTACTTGCATCTTAGTCTGTATGTTAAAGGGTCATGAAACCTCGTTTCAGCACGGGTTAGTTCTCACCACAGTTGTAAAAAAACGCTAAAAAAGTGGGTGTGGTGTGCTGAGAAGTGGAGGGGGGGAAGAGGGGAGACAGACAACACAAATTGGTTTCAAACAGTTTCATTTCACTCCCATCGAGTTAAAAACACAAATAAAGGCACAGCCATTTGCACTCTGTATCGAAAACATATATATGAACGCGCTGTTGCACCTTTGATAACTTTTAAGGCTTATTCTGCGGCGTTTACATAAGCCTTTTGACGGGTTGTGTCACGGAGCTGTAAAAACGGTTACACTCACTAAATGAATGAAACACGGTTGTACCGAACTCTTATTACAAAGCAAAAACAAACTCTCCTTCGATCCATGAATGTTTCTCTCAGTTAATGTACGCGATCTCACAGTCTGAAGCGTCTGTCATAGCAAATCAACACATGCTGTTGTGAACAATTAAGCGATTATTTTACACGCAGTCTCATGAATAATTTCATAGACACCGATGCATCATCGATGTACGATCCACCTTTTTCTTCAACGTGGAAGTAAGCCTATGGGTGAGACTTCCGGTTCATTAGCCGCTATAGGTAAATAACAAGGAGAATAACAACGTGCAGTAAACGGTAAAACTGTTTGCACTACAAACCAGTGTGTTCATAATTTAAGATAATACATTAAAATAATACACCAACTTTCAATATCAAGCAGCAAAACAAACTGTTTTGTTCAGCTAAAAATAGCTGGACGGAGTGGACGCAGATGAGACCGGAAGCCAGACCCATAGAATTTACAAATGGCCGCGCCCATTTATACGACAAGAAAAAGGTGGATAAAAGGCTTGTTTGAGATGCGCCTCACATCGCATGAAATGTAGGCGAGAGCAGGCGGCTGCAGTGAGGGGAGGAGTGAAATAAGTGCAGTCACAGTTCTGACCTCTCGAAGTGAAGCAGATACCAACGAGATCAGAGGCGGATATCGCATTATTCACACTCATGTGCTGTGCTGCTGATAAATATGATATAATTTCAGTTCTGTTGCTTTTATAGGAAAATAAATATGATAAACAAGACACTCAAAGTGCTTGCTATTTAATTCCATACGAAAGGCATATTTATCATCCATTTTTACTTTTAATCATTTAAATATATAATCACGTGAAATCAGATTAAAAAATAAAACATTTTTATAAGAGAACGCAACATCACGTTGTCTGAACCAATGAGCATTAAGCTGTGTTGTCAGTCAGTCGTTTCCCATCATGCTTTTGGTCAGTGCAGTCGGTGGAGAGCAACTGCGCTCGACTGCACAATCCGACACAGCCGCCTCGCCGTCGCGAGAGTTTTTTGGCACACGTCAGCATGACATCAGAGCAAGTCGGACGTAACTCGGACACTTTTCTAACCGGCAAGCATCTCGCGGTGATCATCGGTGATTGGTTCTGCGCAGATTTTGCTCATCTCAAACAAGCCTATTGTCCTTTGCCATGTCACAAATTGTGACTTCAACACGATGTAGATTTTAAACCTGGGAGATGAAAATAGCACAAAAAGCTTCAAATTAACCAGTTTTCTCCAACAATTAAAATTAACGGCTGCTAACATGGTCTTCTATGATGTGTAACACAAACACCTCTGCTAAATTCTCTGAAAAAGTTGTCTGGGGTTTCATGACCCTTTAAATGCGGTAAGTAGCTTATCCTCAGGGCACTGCCTTGCATGGCTGTATGTGTCTCCCTCTACAGGCCAGTCTGAAGAAGTTCATGGACTACATCCAGGCCGGGGCTGTGGAAAAGGTAGCCAAACTTGTAGACAAAGGCCTTGACCCCAACTACCATGACCCTGATACAGAAGGTGAGGTGTCAGGCACTGCACTGTTCTCTTCCTGTGAGACTTAATGAACTTTCCAATGAGCTGGATAATTAATTACTGCCAGCAGAGCATAAACTGGCCCACACGCATGCTATATGCAAATGGAAATAGGGCTGAATGAATATTCAATGAGCATTTACAGGAATGGACATTTGCATCTTCTCAAACGATCCATGCAGTTGCCAACAAAAGTCATCTGGAGTTCAAATTATGCAACAAATGCGTAAAGTTAACGTTAGACTCAGTGGCTGCCTCCTAAATAAACAAACAAAACCAATTACAACAATTGGGCTGTTTAATGAGATGAAACAATTACTGCAGCTCAACGGTTCAGTTCAATGCGTGCCAACAGAGTAAAAACCACTGAATAATTTGAATGTATTTGTAACGGGGCAGCATCTTTTATGGCATATTAATTCAAGTTTTTAACACTTTGGCGAGCATTTGGTGAGCTGGAGACGCGGCCAGACATGCCGTGAAAGCCGCTTTATGGACCAGATGACAATGCAGTGTAATATTAGCATTTGCTTGCAGCAGAGTTTGACTTGCAAGACGGCTACCTTGAGTGTTGTTCACAGTTTGTGTCATCTGCGTTGTCACAGAGTTGATGTTGTGCTTGCCAGGCTGACAGTCACTTCTCGAAACAGACCCTGCTAACAAGGAGTGAGAGCTGCTGCACCATTTGCAACCACTAGGAGGCTGATCCGAGAGAAAATTTCCATTGCAATTAAAGGGATAGTTTAGGCAATAGTTCAATTTTTTGTTTTATGTGATTCCAAACCTCTTTAAGGAAAATAAATAAATACATTTAACTAATAGATATCACCATATTTCTCCAACTGACTGATTAGAGTAAGAATTGCAAAACGTTTTTGTTTTATGTGTTTAAATATGCAAATGTTGCATTATCTAATTAAATATAGACTAATTTGCATACATTTTGGATTAAGCCAGTTTCAGAATTCTTGTTTTTGATGTCTTTTTATCACTCCATAAATCTGAAAATAATGTCACTAGCCAGAAAAAAAAATCACCACTTTTTAGGAATAAAATGTTAAGTGTATATGTATAGAATGAGTAAATCATGAAGAAACAAAAGTCTTCTGTAAAATTCTTCAGAAAATAGATAGGAATACAATTTTAAAGTTTTGTTTATGTAAATGTAAATGAGGTGGAGATTTATGGCTCACTGCCTGAGAAAAAACTCTTGAGAAAACTGCCTTTAAATATATGTATAGTAATTGAAATCTACAGATGAATATAGATAAAGTGCAACGAAATAAACACTTAAAAGTGTATTTTGGATGATTTCTTTCCACTAGTCTAAAACAATGTTATTAAAAGCTGAATAGCCCAAGATCTCAAACTTGACCAGTGTACGGGAGAACAATGCCTTGCCTTTTAAATAATTTACTGAAAAATATGTACTGTATGTGTATCATAAAGCTGTTAACCATTGCAGCCGATTCACTGGGTTGAACTTGGGATCTGGATCAGGCTGATTTGTGAATGAATTTTATGAATGAATCTTCGTGAGCTGGATCAATTGATTCATTAAAAATATATAACTCGAAAAGATAGTTTGTACATCATCACATCAACATGCCGACGATCTTGATCGATCGGTTGAAGCCAAAACTGTTTAGACAAACTGTTTAGTTGGCATGTTGATTTTTTTATGTTTTTCAACTCTTCTTCTTACAAAATGTCCTTACCGCAACATTACAATAATGTACATTTTATGCATTTTTCTTTTTTAATTTCTATAAAAATGTAATGTATTTCAATAGCTTTTTAAAATTTTGTGCAGTTTTGTAAATACTGATATTAAAAAAAATATACAAAATAGGGGATTTCATGGTTTTCTCTATGCCAGGTAAAATTTAAACAGTAACCTGTCAATTGTTTCCATACAAACGAAAGATAACATATTTAGCTTTTTATGCCAGATGTTGCAATTTCAGTGTGTAAATAATCTCAAAGTTTTCTTGCAAATAAAAATATGAAAAAATAAATAAAGCAGAGCTGCGGTAATGTCATCTTACGTCGGTAAGGACACAATGTTAAAGTGCCATGAAATCAAAAACAGGCTACTGTAGAGAACAACAGTATAAAAGAAACAGAAAACATATAGAATGAATATTTGTAATTTATATACAGTAAACTTTGAACTTGTCTCGCCTGCCAATGACGTCATAACCCCTCGATTTCTGGTTTTGTTTTGTAGAAAACATGGAAACACCAAAGACGCTTTAATATGTTGTGCGTTTTATTAGACCGGTGACGACCGCACAGAGTAGCATTATAACAGAACTTTCAAATGTATCTAGTATGATAAAACAGCACTTTTTTCCCCCACATAAGCACGACCGGAAGGTAGCGGAAGCGGTCGACTGTGGCATAATAAAAGCTCCGCTGCTTTCGTGTGTCGTGCTCGTTCAGCGCCTCGTTTCACTTCGACAGCTTTCAGCCTCACCCTGGTTCATTCTACTATGTTAATAAATCATTACTTCATCCATGAACATGATTTCTGCCCAAGTCCCGTCGGATTGCATCGGCTGTGGGGATGAAGACCACAACTCCCATGATTCCACACTCAGTCACTGCTTCATCAAACTACGCCTTTGTTTCTTTGTTTATTTTGAATACGCGCCCTCTAACGGCGAAAATTACATTTTGTGCCTTTAAGATGCTGTAAATTAATATGTATATGAAACAATTCCATTTGAAATAATGTCAAATTGTAATTCAATTAGCTTATTTTACGTATCTCAACATTGTGACCAGAGTTGTGGGCCATGAACAAAAATGGTGTTTGGACCTATAAATGCTTCATAATTTTATATTAAATCACATTAGTCATTAATTATATTTTTTGTCAAGGTGTGTAATGACACTGTGAATATATTTATAAAGCAACATATGACACATTTTAATATAAATCTAAAATTTCACTGCTGGGACTTAAAAGTGCTCGTAGTTGCAGAAACACCCATATGTGACCCTGGAGCACAAAACCAGTCTTAAAGGCATAGTGCACCCAAAAATGAAAATGTGATGTTTATCTGCTTACCCCCAGGGCATCCAAGATGTAGGTGACTTTGTTTCTTCAGTAGAACACAAACGGAGATTTTTAACTCAAACCAGAATCAAACCCAAATCAGAGGTAAAAAACGATATAAATACTGTTCAGTTTCTTGCACAGACCGATCGTTTTGTGTCTTTTCACATCAATGTATCA